CTAACAGTATAAGTATAACTGTATATTGTATAAAATATAAGAATTATGGATTTAAGGCACATCAAAATTGAAAAGTATACTACACAACACATAGCAGCATACACTCCATAAGCATAAGCATAACTAGAAGTCCATATCCAATTATGATTTATGAATTATCCATAGTCTGATTGATAGTCTACAGTCTACACTCCACAATCAACATTTCACATATGGTTAAAACTTAAAACTTAAAATTTACTAACCAAATTACCAAACCAAAGTTACCAAATACCAAACCAATGGAACCACAAATCCACTATCCACAATACACAACCAAGATGAGGAAAACAAAAATGAAAGAAATACTTGAAGACTTAAAAGAATCTTCAATCAATGTTCAAAGTTTCTTTTTTACATGGGATAACATCCCCTTGATACTTTTATTAGATCTCGAAGAAGACATCTCAAAATAATACAACTTATACAAGCAATCAAAAAAAAAATCACTTACTTTGATTGCTCGATCTCCAAATTTCCACCTCCAAGATGTTTCTAAGGACTCAAAATCTTCTAAAAACCCTCTAATAGATTTATAAAATATCCAAAATTAAATTTAATAGCAATGGGTGATGTTTTAATCAATTTTTTATAACTTTGGGAAACCCTTCGATCCCAATGAAATCACCAAAAACTAGTCTTTGTTGGGTTTTTCTCTCTCTAAAATGAGCTCTAATGGGTTTTAGATTTCAAATGAACTTAAAACCCACAATTTTGAACCCTTAGTATCAAAATAAATGACACAAAATGTCCCTATCGAGTGGCTTTTCCGCCTCTAGGCAGGGCGCAAGCCCTGGGCGGCCATCCAAGGCTGGGTGCTGGGTGCTCGCTTAGGCAGGTTCCTAGGCACTTACGGGGGGTGCCCAGGGATTTTTTCCTTTTTCTAGAACCTAGGCCTAGGTGATGCGCTCAGGTGCCAAGCAGTTCACTTTTTGAATCACTGCTTGTGTATTTCAAAATAACTATATAGTTTTGTGTGGTTTTCTTAAACTGCATTTTGTAGAGAGAGAAAATTGTAGGTTATTTAGTCTCACATTGCAGATGAGAGTGTAGATTAAGTAGTATTTAAGTGCAGGCATTCTCATGCCTTTTACTCTTAGAACAAATGTGAGACTGATAGTACATATATGGAGCGTATGAAGAGTGCGACATACTCACGCAGAGCGCTTGATGGCGCAATTCGCATGCTCGCATCGGCGCATGAGGCACCTCTCATCCAAGCACGTGTACGGCTTGGGCTTGAGTCTCAAAATATTTTTAGAGCGTGGCTCGTGTGGAACGTCCAACAGTTAATAGTCATTGAAGAAATGGAGGCTGTAACAGCAGCCATCGAGTTAAGGGCGTGCATGTAAGTTGTGACTATTGGTGGTGCATGTAACCACTCCTAGAGTAAATGGGCAACCTCTTGGAGCTCTATAAAAGGGGTCATGTTTCCCATACAAATTATACTCTTGCAACACTCTTCTCATACCTTTTCGCACACCATTCTGCAAAATTCCAGAGAGCATAACAGAGAATGCATCTCTCTCGCTCTCGCTACTCATTTTTCTCTTTTTCTCTCTCTAAACAACTCAAGACTATGGTGTCTACTGTGAGCTTCAAGCTCGGGTGCATAGAGCTTTGGAGCATCAAAAGAGATCATTTTGTTTTCCTATATTCTAAGGATGAGTTGCCCATTTTATGCACACATATTACAGTATCGAAGAGGGGAAAATATTGTTTTGAGATAGCACTCCTACATGCCCAAAAACAAGAAGGATTCAAGCTTCAATTTTCTTTATTTGTACTATCTTTTTCCCCTTTTAAACCCTACTAACTCCCAACATGGGAATGTGGGAGGGAGTGCCATATTCCTGGAATGGTCCATATATTTCCCACTTGCAGTATGCAAATGACACATTGTTCTGCATTGAAGCTTATGTGACACAAGCGCAGCATCATTGGCTATTCTTCAAATGCTATCTATTGATTTTAGGGGAAAAAATCAATATGAGCAAAACTACACTTGTAGTATAAATTGCTCGTTCAAAAAAAGTACAAAGTGGGCATCGTGGATGGGTGTAAGAATGAGTCCCTACCCGTCAAGTACCAAGGAATCCTCCAAACTGATGGCGGGCTTACTCATGCTGGTTGGGGCACAATTGTGGAGAGATTTTTGACCAAGCTAGATGGGTGGACGAGCAAATACTTATCCGTAGGGAGAAGAATAACCTTTATCAAGGCCACCTTGACCAATCTCCCAGTATATTATTTATCCTTAGTTAAAGTTCCATCCCATTTAGTGAAGAAACTAGGACCATTGATGAGAAATTTCTTATGGAGTAGAAATGCTGAGAAGAGGAAATTTCATTTGGTGAAGTGGAGCGTGATCTACTTGTCCAAGGGAGCTCTGGCTCTAAAAAGACTTAAGCTTGTCAATGAGGCCTTGTTGACCAGGTGGTTGTAGAGATTAGGATTAGGGACAGAACAAATTGGCAACTGGTCATCAAAACAAACATAGAAGAGATGAGAATATATATTGACAAAAATAATTTGCAGTTAAGGAAAAGAGGAATGATAATCACTAACAGGTGTCCCTTTGTGCAGAGACGATGCTGAAACCAATGACACTTATTCATTCTCTCAAAACATCTTGGAATGGCTCTTGAACAAACCCCAATGATGCTGGGTAATGCCAATATCAGTTGTAAAATTACCAGAAACAACAAGCTCCTTGCCTTTAACTTTTATGGAAGATAATAGTGGCTGCAGAGATTTGGCAACTATGGAAGGAAAGAAATAATCGATTGAGATCTCCCTCAAATCAAACAAGCGACTCACAATCCAATGGATGCAGGCTACCCTGGCATTAAGGAGGTCTCAAAAGAAAATTTTAGCTCAGATCTAAGAGACCTCTTTCTCGAGAAACAAAAGGTTAGGAAATCAAGTCAGTGGCTACCCCCTCCTGTGCAATGGGTAAAACTGAATTTTGATAGAAGTGTGAGGAGAAATGGGGAAGCAACGGGGCGTGGCGGATTATTAAGGAATGCTGGGGGGAAATGCTAAGGACCTAACAAGATCAATTGAGTACTTACAGCAGCTGATAGAGGCAGAATTGATGGCTTTAATATTTGGGGTTTCGAGCTGGATCAGTGGTATAATAAACCAGTCACTGAAAAGGATTTTGCCAATGTAATAAAATGGTGTAAAGACCACGCAGTCAACCCCGTGGGCTCGGAGAACAATAATGAATCAAATCAAATTTTGGCTCATCGGCAAGACGAACTAGAGAATGCCCGCTACTCTCGTTTAATCTTCGTTATTGCTTTCTTTTCGCCTTCTGTTTTTGCTGTTTGGGTCTCCTCTAAAAATGCCCTCTGTTTACCAAAAGGCTAGCCTATTGTGGTTTTGGTCTTCATTCTCTCAATAAAATTTCGTTAAAAATTTGAAAAAACAAAATAATAATAATAATATAACACAGCATGAATTAATAGTGATTCACCTGTGATAATAATGCGAGAATAGGGTTGGAGTCATGGTGGTAGCACCACATTTGCTCCAACTAGACTTCTATTCTTAACGCCTTAAAAAACTACTAACGATTTCAAAAACAGCTAAGAGCTCATCATCCCCACTGCATTACCCAAAAAAACATAAAACCGTGATAATAATGCATGCAACCAGTCAGTGGTGCCCACAGGCATGAATGGGCCACAAGTTTAGAGGTCTTTGCATACGGTTTAAATCTATATTTTACTGTAGGGATCTTCAAAATCCTCCTAAAAAGAAAACCATAAATTATGCATCGTGTATGCATCCGAACTTTTGCTAGTTTTGTTCGTGAGGAGCCTTTCTGTTGCCACTACCTTACTACTGTCATTACCATTGTTTCTGGTGTTCTAACAACTGAGTCCATTTGAACCATGAGGGTGAGAATTTATCATACTACTTGACATGAAAGGAAAAGGAAGAGAGGATCTTGGGTCCAACGTCCACATCTAACAATGTGTGGGGAGATCGGCACCGTCCATCTCAGAGGCACTCCAACATATGTTTATGACGTAGGAAACACGGTAAAAAAACAAGGTAAAAAAACAGGGTAAAAAAGTAATGTGTGGGGAGATCGGCACCGTCCATCTCAGCGACACCTAATATATGTTTATAAAGTAGCAAACAAGGTAAACAAACTTCGAAAATGGACTCCAGTTCTTTTTAAGTGTGTTTTGCTGTAGGCTATGGAACTCATTAACATTTAGAGGCCGAGTTTGGTTGCTAAATAAGGGTAAACTAGGTTCCTTTATAGTATATGCTTGGGAATGTTTAGCAGCATTTTTCAAATAAGCGTAGGAAGAAGCAGGCCTGGTGGGAGCCAAACAAACCCTTCCTGACACTATTCAATAATAGATAAGGGGAAAAATAGTATCACTCTGATTAAAGAGTGTGGTTTGTATAAGGTTGTAACCTAAAACAATCTCAACTCCAACTTTTATCATAAATATAATTTTAGTGCCAAAATTTTTTTGGATGGCTTGAGAAATATTTTCATCTCTAATTATAAAATTGTAAAATCTAAAAATGGTTCAAACCAAATAGAAGTATAAGGCACTTGAAAATGAACAATCCAAATGAGTTGCAAGATACACTATTTTCAGGACTCGATAAACTCTCTTTTAATATTCATAGATCACGATATCGAGATGATCAAATACAGCATTTTCCAACATCGAAACAACATTTTATGATAGATTTTTTAGGTGCACCTTAATTCTACATTTTAAGGTTGCAACCTATATAAACTTTTTCCCTGATTAAACCCATCAATATGATTGAATCCTCCACCCAAACTAAGCCTTGTTACAACAGTTCATCAAATCACCCATCCCTCCGTCCCCGTCCCCGTCCCCGTCCCCCTCACCCTCCCCACCCCCCCCAATTAACGATACATATGCACAATACTAGTATCTACATTGTAAACCACATCAAAGACGACACAAACGCGAGCATATCTAGCTCTCAAATCAATAAATCGAAGTCTTGCATTCCAGGGCTGAAGATGCAGAAAAATTGCCCCATAATATGAAGTTTAAACTAACATATCTAATACAAATGAACAGGAAAAAAATTACATCAATCACAGGAAATAAACACTATTTTGCACGTAAACCAGGGATGTTCTTGAGGCCCATCTTGCCCAACACCAGTTTTGATATGGCGGGGGGCCTGTCGAGCCCCATGCTGCTGCTAAAGCCATTGGCTAACTCCACAAGTCTCACCTTATCTTGACCAATTTTCTTCACAGAATTATAGTACCCAAGCCATGCTTGGTATGCTGCCTCCTTGTTCTTCACATCAACATGTGATAGGGCCCATTCCACCTACACAGGTAGAGTAAAACACAAATTTTTTACTGCTAAGATGTAAAACACGATCAACACCCATCTCTCTCTCTCTCTGCATGAAAGACCAGGACAAGCACAAGCAAATGTTAAAAGCACCTTAAAACGCGTGATGACAATAGTTGCCGAAACAATTTCCTCACAAGCCTAATCAAAAATATTTCCTCACAAGCCTATCTAATATCACATGTTCCTCAAAAAAACAAGACAGTACAGTAATACCTCTTGAAACTGATACCTTTGGCAGACCCATTTAGTATCGGGTTAGGAGAGATTATCTGTTTGGGAAATTGCTAGAAATTTCGTCACTTGGTTAAAATTTAAGATGAGAACACTTATCGTATATTATATTTGAGTTTTGAAGTCCGTCTCATACTTAGGATGATGGTGAAAACCTACTGCGACCCCCTCGAAAGGCCGAGCCCAAGATGCAAGATGAACTAAAGAGGGACAACGCTGAAAAAGAAGGGCAGAATTATTCACAATTATATTGCATACTTCAAGGAAATGTCGGACTGTGTATTGAGCCCATACCCTTGTCTTAGTTATGGACGACTTAACTAGGCACCCACAAGATGAGATATCGTTGAGTATGTTCTTCACAAAAATAGTTTTGATCGATAAGACCCGAAATGACGTCAATACAAAGTTAGAACTTTGGAGATATGCTTTAGAATCTAAAGGTTTTACAATTAGCCAGACTAGGACAAAGTATATGGAATGCAAGTGTAAATAGTAGAGATGAGGAAATAGTTAATATTGACGGCTAAGAAATATCAAACGAGCGCACTTTCGATATCTTTGGTCAATAATCCAAGAAAATTGAGAGATTGAGGAAGATGTCGTATATAGAATTAGAGTTGGGTGGGTGAAGTGGAGATGTGCAACCGGAATTTATATGATCGCCACATACCAATGAAGCTGAAGGGTAAATACTATAAGACATCTGTGAAACTAGCTTTGCATTATAAGACAGAATGTTGGGCGGTCAAGAAACAACATACCCATAGATGTAGTTGAGATGAGGATGTTGAGATGGATGAGATAGAATTTGAAATAAATATATTCGGGAGACACCAACAGGCGATAAAATGAGAGAAAGTAGACTTAGGTGGGCTGGCCATGTACAACGTAGACCAAGTACAGCACCTGTTAGAAGGGCAAGTTAGTTCAAGTGGAAGGCTCAAAAAGGCCAAGGGACATGCCCAAAAGGACATGGTTGGAAGTAGTGAGAAAAGATATTGGGACATATGGCCTCAATTATAGTTGAGGGAAACGCCCGTGACTCCGATTCGTTTTAGGAATCGCAGAATCGCATGTGCCAGATGATTTCTAAACTCGAAATCTCCATCCGTACAATGAAAACCATTGGAGTTGTGATTCCCAATAATCGAAATCGCCATCTAATAAAATAAAAACTATGATTCCTATTAGTAGGAATCGGTGTCCCATCACGTTGGAATCAAGTCCCCTACCTTTAGGAATCGCACATGACCCCACACAGTTTGATGACTTCCGGAATCACGATCCGAAGAAATAGGAATCATGATTACTACATTACTGGAATCATTGTCCCAATCAATTGGGAATCGAGATTCCCATAATTCAAGAATCGTGCACTCATACCCTCTAGTATAAGAGAGAGGTATATTGCGAAAAGAGATTTAAAATTTTATATAGATGATTGGGGAGAGACATAGATGATACCATCTTTTGACCCAAATTATCTAATGTAAACCAAGCAGAAATCATAGATGATATCATAGCTTGGTATCAGCTTGAAAGACCAAGATGTGTTGCATTTTCTTCAAAATCCAAAGGCTGCAATTGGCCATGAATTTTGATCACCGTCAATCCATTTCCTTTTTCTTTTTCCTTTTAAGGCTTTAAGTCCATGTCCCCCACCAAATATACAATGAGACAACGAGTGATAAGCATTTTTAGTGCCGTCGATGATCATTAATAAGCATTTTACTAATCACTTACCAAGCATGCCTGACATAATTATTTACTTGAGGGGGGGGCTGCCACCCAACCGTCTTACCTTGAGGTGGAACTTCCACCCACTTCATGATTTATAGATTGATAAATCCATTGGGTAACTTGGCAGAGATTCTTGTACATGGATTCATATCAAAAGTTTATTAAGGCTTTTTGGCTCACAACATCACAATCTTGAAACCCAAATCATGGAGATATTTAACCTCGTACAAACTTGTAACATGATACGAAAAGGTTCTTGGAAATCCTCCGGTAACATACAATCAGTTCCCGAAGCTCCTCCCGCAACATACAACTTGTCAACATATTTCATTCAACATTTGCATTTGAATATTGATTCAATGTCATTAGAACTTAATTCAATATTGATCAAAATAATGCTTGGTGCATCTAAGAACTGCACCTTTTGATGATGTGGAACTCGCTTCCCAACAACATGAATTCGCGATTCCTAAAAATTTGGAATCAACGTCTTGCACACGTTGAATCGCATTGTTGTGCAGCTAGGAATCGAAAATTCTGTGATATGAAATCTAGATTCCAACCTTCCAAGAATCAAAGTTCGGATAATAATTTGAAACGCATTCCATGAAACTGGAAAACGTGATTTGTATCTTCCAGATTCGTGTTTCATCCTAGGATCTGCGGAATCACGATTCCCAACCTTGGTACACAATTCAGGTAACTATAGCCTCAATGTAGGTATAACCCTTAATAGAGCAGAATGGCGGACTAGGATTTGTGTAGCCGGTCCTAATCAGTTGAGAAAATGCTCTGATGGTGATGATGAACGAAATGCCAGGCTATGCATACGGCTTTCTACTATATTTGGGATATAATATGTACTAAAAACTGTCTGAAAATCAACTTTGTAAGGTAGTCATTGTAATTTTAACATCAAGAGTGATATTTTAGATGTCATTAGTTTTTATATTGGGAACGAAAGGACGGAAAGGATTGTCCCTAATTGACAGGAATTTGTTTTTGTTGACGGGATCTTTTTTGAGAGGTAGTCTGCAGAATGTGGTTCCCAAACAGTCAAAATACGTCATTGCATCACAATAAAGTGCCTGCGTTATTTAAAGTGAGTTTTAAAAAGATCTGTATATGACAATTGTCTTATCCATCAATCAAGGATCACGAGGAAGAATGCCACACACATGAAACAAGTAGTTCAGCTCACTATTAAAAAAAAGGGACCGCCAAGAGCCTAGGTGGTTGCCCTGCCCCGCCTGAGCATAGGCAGCCCTCCCTGCATGCCACCCAAGTAGTCTAGGCACGCCTTTGCCCTTGCTTGAGGCTGAATATTGTACTCAGGCAAGGGGCAAAAAGCATATTTCCCCACTCCTAAGGAGAAAAAGGTGGGGGGAGGGATATTCTAAGACCCCTAAAATTCCTCAGGGTCTATTTTTTTTATGTACAAAAAAAAAGGAAACTCAAAATATTGGATTTGTAAAACTTTTGTGAGTTACAAAAGAATATGAAGTTCGAGAAATCATCTCAAACCTCACTACCTTTATTGAATTGATAGTAGAGTATAAAGAGAGGTTCTGAGATGAATTTTTGGGTGATCTAGAGCTTGATACCAAATACATCAACGATTGAAGATTGTGGAACAGAGGTTAGTAAAATATATTGTATTTGAGATTTTTTTCCTTATTTCAAAAATTTATTTTACATGTTTTAATAGGAGTGGGGATCCGGGATGGAAATATGGTTTTTCCATAGATAAAAACAAGAAGAACAAATTTAGGTGCAAATTTTGTAGTAAAGATACAAATGCATAGACCAATAGGTTTAACAAATACCTTGCTGTTAGAGAGGATGTCGCCCATATAAGGAAGTTTCGGTGAATGTGTTAGGAAGGCAACATTTGACTTTTTGGATGCCCAAAAAAACAGGCAAATATGGCACAGTTGAGGGCCGAGGTGAATATTTTCAATGATAATTAGGAGGAGATGATGAAGTGGAAACTAAAGTGGATCCCTCTCGAAGTATTAGGAGAGAAACTGGGTCTAAGAAGCCTCGTATGAAGGGGCATATGAACGCCCACAGTTGCTGGGAGGGGGTGCAAGAGCCTGGGATCAACCCTTGGCTGAAGCTCCCTACTTAGGAGTGCTTGGGAGTGTTGTCCAGGGAGCAGCCTGATATATGTAAGCGCACTTTAACACACACACACACATTATGATATAAAAAATCAAAAAACGCATACTTCACTTCTAAGATTATTTACACACATGCACAATGAGAAGCCCTTAGCTAGAATGTCCTACAAAAAATTGGCAATGAGACTGTAGGACCATGATAAGAACCAAACTTAGGAACTGCCTGAGATGGGAGATTCCCTACAACAAACTAGGCCAGAAAAGGCGATTCACTACAGTGAGAACCATGCCAAATCAGGACCATCTGGACAAAAGACCCTGCCAGGTCCAAGATGACTCGTCTGATTCCCAGTGGACTACCCAATTTTCAGCCATTGGTGAAAACTACGTGCAAACTACAACCACAAAAACGGAAAACAAAAATGATCAACAGGTTAGCTAGAAAATAATCAGAAAGCAAAAAAAAATATTGCAAAATCAAATGTGTATACAATTCAAGAAGTTTTGGAACTTCCCTGGGATTGAGATTCCTTCTTATTCAGATCGTCCCCATTTCAGTGGGGTCGTGATCCCCTTCTATAGAGATCGAGATTCCTTTTAGTCAGGCATCGAGATCCCTATACAACAGGAACCGAGATCCCTTATTTTATTGTATTTTATCCCCCATTCCCCAACTAACACCCCACATCAATTTGGATGCCATCCCCCCCATCACAGTTTTATGCAATGTGAGGCAATTGGCCAATTTGGGCAATGTTAAAAGGCCCAACCATTATGAGCTTAAGGACCCATTGCATCAAAAAGAGGCACAAATCGCTAAGGGTTATCTCAAGTCCCATAGGGATGTGCAGGCGCAATTTAGGGTCTCAATCA